TCGTCATCATCATCTATGAAAATTTCCAGAAACGGCGTTTTCTGATTAAATTAATAAACAATCTTTTGATTTCCATTTGAGTCGTAAGACACCTTGATCAAAAAATCGAGAAGAATAGTGGCCTACAAAAATATTAAGAGAAAGATATTTATACAATAAAATAAAGCCAAGGAAAGAAAAAGTGACCACGCTTAGTGAGCTGATATTTTGGAAACTACTATTTGGGCGTCTTGGATTTATTGTTTCTCGGTATGTTGTTAATTTTCAGTTAGTCACCAGCCCATAGGAAAACTGTTCGCCAGCTAACATTAGGAGCTCAACCTCGCTAATGTATTCTATATATTTTATTATATTAAGAGAAAGATATTTAAGCCCGTATAGCAGCAGGGAATCGATGTCCGTACTGTATGCAAAAGTCGTTGAATAGAAGAAAACCACTGAGACATGTAAAAGAAAACTTTAGCAGAGGCGATGTTTCTACAAGGACTGTTGTATTGGGGCGTTTAACTTGCGCAACTTCATTATTTTGACATGTTGGAGGTCACGCCAAATATTTTTTAGACCACCTCTTTTTTTTTTTTTTTTTTTAATTTTGTTGTCAAATTATCCTACGATTTAAGTGAAAAAAAAAATAGATGTTGGTGAGTTTTCAGTACTTCATTGAATATACAAAATTCACCGATCTCCAGATTGAAAAGTCCCATTTACGAGAATTTTCGTAAATAATTTTTTTTTATAAAAACTAGGACCTACGACTTAAATGAACAATCGGGTTTGCAAACATGATTTTCTGAAAGTCATAAAATCCGAATGCTTTAGAGGTCAAAAATTTGCTTATGTTCTTAATTCATCGTGATTAAAATTCATTAGTTGAGTGAATCTCAAAATAAAGGAATATTAATGAATATAGATTTAGGGAATCAAAATAGAGGAATATAAATGAATGTAGATTGTTGTAACGTTTAAGTACAATTGCCTACGAGGAAATTTGGCCAGCTTAAATAAAAATAATTATGTAGTGAGCCCGTTGGGGCATATCCTTTTTGATGGTGCCGCGACCCTAACAGCGATAATTATCTTGGCAATTGCCTTAGCTAATGACCGCCGTCTCTTAGAACGACCTTCGCCTCGGGTCCTCCAGCGTTCTCCAGTTTTCCGGTAGGCCGAACGCTCTGGAGCACTCGAGCTCTACTCATCTCTTCAATGTTTAATTTATGTTCGTAAGTACCAGTATTCAGGGATGGGATATTGGGATATACTATCGATAATACCGGACTATAACTTTTATGGTTAAATTAAAATATCGTACTTGAAATATCTATAGTTAATATTTTCAACGATATTATAAACATTTTTGAAATATAAATATGAATATCAGTATTGATTCTCTAGCACATAGGCACAACAAAAAATGTGTTATTTTTCTCTTTAAATTAATTAATGGAAATATCAATTCTCCAGTAAAATATTTTTCTAGTTTCTGTCCATCTTCGTCATCCTCTGTTTTTTTCCCCAGACATTTCTATTCAACTATGCCTTCCATCTACCCATTGATCGGAAATTCAGCGAAATGCTAATTTATTTGCACCCCACATAGAATTCGTGGCCTTGGTTTGAGAATGTTCTAGCTGACAAATTTTGGCAAATTAAGTTTACTGAGGGCGAAGGGTCCCACGCATTGAAATTTTCCTCTACTGCGCACAACTTTCTTTATGAAACGGGCAAGATGGATATATATTTTTTTTTTCAAAAGTTCAGATTCCTAACACTTTACAAAAACGATAGTTTTAATTTTAATTTTTAAATTAAAATATCGAAGGGACGATCTACTCCGATATTATTGACTATCGATGGATATCTCTACCAGTATTGATTTCTAAAAAAAATCGGCTTCGAAGGGCTACAGTTGCCCTTTTAATGAAGCCAGCACCATTTTTAATACTTTTTGAGATACTTATCAATACCGAGTTTCTACTTTTTATTCGAATAAGCGAAGCGAAAGGAAGTTTATGCGTCTGGGTTGCCAAAGATATATAACAGTTTTTGGATCGAGCCTCTGAATCGATTTTTAAGTTTGATGGCTAAAATTATTCAGTAAGATCCCCTTAATGTTTTAAACTAAAAATAATTAACTGTGATTAAATACTTTTTTTTATTAATAAATTCTCAAAAAGCTTTGATTGAACTCGTGGTTCGATTTTGAAGTTCGATGGCTCATATTATTCGTGAAAATTTTGAAACAATATGGGCTTAAAACACTGACCCATGATTAATTAAAATGTGTTTAATCAATTTTCTGAAAGCTATGTAACGATTTTTTATGCGAACGGCAGGAGCGATTTTAAATTTGATACCGTAAACTATTCTGTGAGATCCTATAAGTGGTTTGAAAGAATTTGAGCTCAAAATTCTGGCAAATCCGCTGTTTGAAGCGTGTTTAATCAATCTGTTAAATGGTAAGCAATGATTTTTTGAGCAGTTGGCATTACCAGTTTTTAACATTGACGGTTGACAAAATTTTCCAGTGAAATAAAAATTAATATAAAAACATAAATAGACTAAATCACTATTTAGTCTAATTAGTGACTAAATAGACTAAATAGTGGCAAAACTGTTTTATTAAAAGCCAACGTTTCCACCCGACTTTGCTGGTCGAATTATTGAGATTTTCATTCTGTTTTTTTTGATAATATTTCTGTTTTCTTCGTTTTTTGATGGGACATAGATTACCGTATGTTTTATCGTCAACCATTTTGCAAACATATCTGTAATACCTTGAATAAGCCATTTTGCGGGGAGCCCCTTTATTTCACATCATGTTGTCTAGTAGCTATTCTTTTTTTATCTTACTGAACATTCTATTAAGTATATGTTCGAAATATTTTCTCATTTTTTTTTTTTTTTATCTATTATTGGTTTCTTCATGTTTGATGCATTATTTCGAATAAACAAGCTCTTTTTCTCAAACTTCGGGTTTAATCCACGCGTAAAAATATTTTTATTAATATGTTTAATATCAACATCATTAATGCATGTAATACTAAATAAATAGATATCATTGGATTTAATTTGAATTTCAATATAACATGGCCTTTATGCACTAAAAAAATAAACCAAAATTTCATAACTGGAAGAGATTTAACGAAGATATTATTTATTGATGAAAAATTAATTAATTATTTATTTTTTCCTACTGTATTAAGTTATATTACAAATTTAATATAATCTGATTTGCCTTATACAATAAGCATAGTATTTCATCATTCATCTAATTAAATTAATATAGTCCCTACATTATGAGAAAGCTTAATCAATCCATATTCAATAATACTAATGGCTTTTGGTAAGTCAGAACTTATTATTTTTTCTCTAGCGATTTCTAATATATACATAATTTTTTTCATTCCAAAAAAATCTATATAATTTACAACAGAAGATGTTTCTAGAAAACTAATTCCAGAATAACCAATATTATATTTAATTAATCTTATTTAACAGTACTAAACCATTTTCAATAATAAAATTGTAGGTTTTCATTTTAAAGCAATGAATGAAAAAATAACTCCTATTCCTTTACTTTATAGATTTGGAAGAACATGATTTCATCTATCTAATCAAATTTTAGTTGATTTTTCATCATTGTTCATGCTTAATTTATTCCCTTAGTAAAAATAGAACAGTGCCAGGATGAAGCATCACGGAAGTGCCTAGCGTTTTGCGGGAAAGGTAGTGACCTAGCGCCGGCCTTAATATATTTTTTTTAAATAGCTAAAAATACTCCTATGTCTTTTTTGTTTAAGACAAGTTCATTCTCATAGGAATCTTATTAAAAAGTCGTATACCATAGATAACATCAAAAATAAATTCGTGAACTTATCCGTTATAAATTCGCAGACGGACACCAAAAGAAATTTTTAAAATGGCTAAAACGTATTCCATGTAAGATTTTTTGAAGTGAAAACTTCCTTAGGCGCGTTTTTGCACTTTTTTTTGTGGAGGGTGAATTAGATTGAACCGTCAGATCTCCGATATGTAACGCTCAGTTAAAGTTGACTAATTGAAGTGCTTTTGCATATGAATTGAAATATTTCAAAAACTAAAAATCGAATCTGCGTAATGTTAACGAAAGAAATCTTAATCATTTTATCCTATTCAAAATTTTATTTTAACAGGACGTCGTGTTGAAGAGGCGAAAAATGAAAAAATAGTATCGATAACCAAATTATAACGATTTTTATTGAAGATGTATTAAAATATTTCAAAAACTAAAAGTCGGAAGTACAAAATGCAAGCGAGGAAAATGTTCGGCATTTCATCCTATATTTATTTATTTTCATATTATCAATCTCGCCTAGTCTTTTTTTTTAGTTTGGTATGTAACAATTAAAAAAATAATAACAAACTAACAAACTAATACATTTTAAGTAGCTGGCACAACAAGGACCACTAACTACTTTCGTTTCAGATGCATTTTTGAATAAAATCTATACACATAATGGTTTTTATAGTACTGATATATTGAAAAATTATGATTCAGAGGTCTCCTAAAAAGATGTTTTGTCCATTTCAAAGCTTCTTATATACAATTTTGTACATAAAATCTTTTTATGGTGAGAATCGGTTATTTGAGTTATGTGAATTTTTTTTCCACTTCGTCATTTCGAATTCGTAATTATGCTCACGCACGTTCTGAAACCCAATGAAGGGAGCAAAAAAAAAGTCAGCTGCCTAAAGAAACCTTCAACTTAGGATGCCGTGGCACTTTCTTAATTGTGTTCTCTTGAAGAAGAAGTTGGTGCAAAAAAAAAAAAAAAAAACCCAATTGGATCTGTGGCTGCCCTAATCACATTATACCGAGCTTGATCAACTTAAGAGGTCTGCAGAAGTTCGTTAACTCATCAGAACCCTGCCAGGCGTTTAGGTCTACGTCTCAACTTCTTATGGTATGCCCTGAATCGTAATGATGACAGCTTTTATACTTCAAATCTTGCAGGACTTACCTCGGCCTCGGCCTCAGCAGCCGCTTCCTCTGCACAGGGGACAGCCCTTCTTCTTCCACCTGAAGTCCTTCGAGGAAGACCTCTTTTCTTATCTTGTCCATCTCCTCTTCTTTAGGAACGGCGATGTCACCTTGGTGCTGCTCTGTAAAAATAAACGTAAATTGCGTTAGTTATATATTTTTGTACATTTTAGGGTGACAATAAGTGTTATGATCAATAGATGCCAATCTTGATTATCAGCCTAACTAAATTCGTGATGTTGTACACTGTACATGCATACACAGTGGCGGCCTTAGGGTGGGGCAACCGAGACAAACGTCTCGTTGCTGATCTTCAGAAGCGCTTGCCAATTGTTAGAAATAAAAAAAAATACAAAACGTATTGAAATAATTAATTTTACCCTATCAATAAATTAGTGCATTATAAATATTGTGTGTGTAACAGTCTAGTTCAACAACGAAAAGTCGTGGGTATGTGAAATTGCATAATTAAGCTTTATAAGATTTTACAGCAACGTTTTCGTAAAAATTGGCTTACCGGAACTGGCACTTTATATCTTGAATTTAACAAGATTTTCTCGAAAATAGCTCTAACGGTTTTGATTAAATTCATCATATCAGTGTAAAATTAAGCAGTTTTAGGTAAAATGTAGTTTTCATTCTGATTGATGTTCTCTAATAGATCTAATTTTCAATATTAGCTTCCCGTAAAGTACCATTATTTTTTTAAAATTTAAACAATTGACAATTTCACATTAATCTCTAATAGAAAAGATAGTTAAATATAAAATATGAAAGAATTTTATGATCTAGTAAAGGATAAATAAGAGATCGTAACGGAGAATAGTTGTAATTGAGGAACCAAAGCCTTCCTTTAACAGTAGCTTAATATATTAGGGACTCCGACAATATTATGTAAATTCTATTAATGCTATTATTTAATATTTAATTTTATAGATTACAGCGATATAAATATTAAAATTTGTATGTATAAGGGTACTTATACAAATAAAAATACCCACAACGAAATATAAATAAATATAGCGTCTATAATTTTTATATTCACATCCCCTTTTTCTGAAAATACTTACTTCTGCGAAGAAGAGGGTGGAAGTAAAAGTTGTGTGATTCCCGCACCGCTCCAATTTGTTTTGTTAATGTTCTTTTTTTAGATAAATTATTTGAGAACACCCATAAATTTAAAATTTATAATACTTCTATCGCACTCATTCATACAAACACTTCCTACTTAAATATCAACTCCTAATTACATAGGACCATATTATTTTGGTTAAAGCTTTTGATAGTGAAATTGGTCTCCTAGAACAATTCTTTTCCGCGTCAGATTTGGATGGATTAGATGGAGTTGGAATCAGTGTTGCTCTAAACTTCGTTTATTCAGCTAGCTATTTAATTAAGAGGCAAAAGTTTTCAGTTTAGTCTGTATAAGTTACATTGAAGTATTTATGTTTTTTTACGGTTTGTTTATGATAGTTGTTAACATTTTTTTTTTAAAAATTTATCTTTCTTAAGAATGCGCTTGTGGGAGGTAGTTGTATTGGATTATGAATTCACTCTAAAACAAGATATTTAATGTTTTATTTTACTTTTATCGGTATACATTCTTTACTACTGCTTACTACTATTTTATATTTTGTTCTAACACTACCATGATTCACTGTATGAAATTGTTTAACTTTGAGCAGTCAGTTTATCGTTCTTTGTACCCTAGATAAACCCCTCGTTAATCTAAACGATTGTGGTTTTGAACCCTGTAAATCCTTAAGACCCGCCGATGACGTCGGGACAATGGACGAAGTTGTTAAAAGGAAGCCTGCTCGGTTTTACGATTTGCGAGGAGCATTGTCTGACCAACTCCGCCGCAGATTACCTGCTCGGTCCTTATCTCTGGTTTTCTGCTTTTTACTGCTGTACTTCCATCAGTGCTTCGCTTGTTTCGTCCGTGAAAGCTTAAGAGACACAGAGAAGTTTGTCAATGAGGAGAGGTTACAAGTAACATTTTCGGGATTCTTTAAATTTTTATACGGGCTGGTTCACGATGGTTATTTGTCATTCATTTAGAATTTGTGATTTGTTGAATAGAAATTCCATTTGGTGGATACAACATGTCGGAAGATATTTCTAATCAATAGATTTTCTTGACTTTTACTGTTGGGATTTTTATCTTCATGGAATATGAGTATCGAAGATTTCACCACTGAAATGTTTTGGATTATTCTAATCTAAACGTAATTTCAGGTAATCTGAATGATGAATGTGAGGTGGTTAGGGGTGGTAGTAAATTTGTTTCATTAATTATGATATTAATTTTAACTAAATTTGACGATAATATCAATTTGAGATTTTAAATGAAGCATCTCTAAATATCTGAGAGTATTTACAAGCAATTTTTTAATTTCTCAGCTCCATGGTTGATCAGGTATTTTGAATTATAATGAACAAATAAATATTGAAATATGGTTTGGAAGAATAAATATTAAACCAAATTCGATATGAAAGAAATCACTAACTAGATCTATTTATGTTTAAAGACAGACAAATATATGGGAATTATTGCAATAAATTAATTAATTTTAAACCGAACGGGATTGTTAATATATTTTAATTATTTATAAAAACACTCTTTAGCAGACTAATTAAACAAAGAAGAGAATTATAAAACCGTATTTTGTAATTTAGTTTTAACTTTATGCTCCTTGTTGCTAGGTTTTTCTTTCTTTGATATTGAGTTATCTTTATATGGTTTCCTTTTCATTGATATGATTTATGTTGTAATTACTATAAATATTCCCTAAAGCTCAACTTTATTTATAATAACCTTCCTGCCATTGTATAAAGGCTTTTTAACCATTTTCATCCATGTTCAATTTACGATAAATAAAAAGGTTTTTATGTTTATACATTTTTGTTTTTTCATTAAAGCGTTGTCATTTTTTTTAATCTAAAGGGGCATCATTGTGTTACTTACAAAATTTGTTTTTACATTTAACCAAATAGTCTAACTGTAGGACGGAAATAATTTAGTAGATTACTTACTGCTTTTCATTAGTACCTATACCTTTTTTCTTCATTAATTTTTGTTCCCTCTCCACTACTTCCCTTTAGGTTGAATTAATATAACAAAAAAACTTTTTCTTTCAAGTAGAAATAAAAAAATATTATAAATTATAAGTCTTTGTTTTATTAAAGTGAATTTATAGGCAAGGTATAAAGAAGAAATAACATTTGATTTTTAGATATTTTGGCGATATGCATCAATTGTTCATTAATGTTTTTAACTGTTATTGATGGAGCTGAATCAATTTTTACTAATTCATAAAATAAATTCATGGAATTATTATTTTCTTTCTCGCATAATATTTAATATAATTTAGATATCAACGGTTAAAGTCACAAATGAATCAATTTCTAAAATAATGAAAAAAGGTTGTAAAATGTCAATTATAGGTCTGCACAAATATTTTAAGCAGGTCTCGAAACGAAATTTTAACTTTTAATTTTAAACGATTTCTGTATGTTTGTTTTCATTTTTTTTTCTGTTGTTTTGGTACAAGAACATTTTCTCTGCAACTTTTTCAAGTAATGGTTTGACTGAGCTATTGTTGAAAAAAAAATATTCCAACGAACGACATGTTAGAATTACGTTATTTATATGGATAAATTTTAAATGTGTTGACAGGCACAAATACATATTTAATAGACAAAAAAAAAAAAAAAAAAAAAGAAAGGACAAATGTTAACTCTAATCTAAGCTCAATTACTGTTTATTTCACATTTGACGTTACTTTTTTTATAAAAACGTTTTTGTTTTTTTTTTGGTTTGATTTTTTATTCACACCTGTCATAGTGGTAATGACAACCAGTGAATGTGAGATCGTTGGAAAAAAAAAGTTGTATACAAATTTAAATAAATAAAGTTAAACTTTTATCATAAACCTAGAATTTTATTACAAAAAGTTTACTATAACTTTTATCTAAAAACTACTTTCCTAAAACGTTTCACAGAAACTGTTAAAATGGAACTTTTTAAAAAGCTATAAAAATTATAGTTTGTTGTAAAACAAATTAACTTTAAGATTGGATCTTAAAATACCTTGTTTATCTACTCTCTTTGGCTCTTTGCATATGTACTTTATAATTAATAAACCCTCGATTTTATTAATTATGAAATACATATGCAAAGAGCCAGAGAGAGTAGATTAACAAGGAATTATAACATACAATCTTTAAGTTAATTTAAGTTTTATTATTTTTAGTTATTATAGTTTTACTTCAAACTATAATTGTTTTTGTCTAGTTAACCAATGATCTATATACATAAATCTGTTCCCTCTTAAACCTTTATGTATTTTCTTATATTGCCAGGACATCTGACCCCGCGCAACGTGTATTCAATAAAAGTGGAGTGGCGGCCAGGATTGTATTCAATAATGGATTTGGCCGACTCCCAACTCGTGGACTCACTCGTACAGAGATTGGGCAAGCCCGTTGTCAATATTGCCTCATCGAGGGGCTTAATGACAAGGGGTTCTCCATGGTGACTTCATCAGGCCATTTCTTTCTCTTATTTCATAAATCTCCTCCAAAGCTCTTCTTCCATTAGTTCTCCCTTTCGAAACCCTAATTGAAGTCAGTTCTTCTAAATACCCTCCTTCGTGACTCTCAATAACGCCAATCTTCTGTTACAATCTCAAGGGAGTATTAACGATTCTAAAATGTCTTTCTCTGATAAGGATAAAGTTCCTTTGAAATAATTTTATGCGATTAATAAGTTCTTTAGTTAAGAATAGAGCCGTCGAGAGGGGTGTAGGTCGATCTCTATTATTATGGATAGTATTTTACCAATAGAAGTATTATTATTACTCCTTTTAATGAGATTTTTAAACATATCATTAACCCGTTGGAACAACATTAAATTGTCAGAAAAACGTGTTTAATCGAATCCGATTCCATAGTATAATATATATATATATATAAAAAATCAGTACCATTATAACCCATGAAGGTTCGTGGGTTCATTGCTGGTCAGGGAAAGTACTGTTTCTTAGCAATAATTGTGCATGGAGGTGATTTGACTGAGATCACGCACAACCGCCAGGTTTTCCCCCTTAATTAATTTAGGTAAT